TAATTTGGTAGTAAAAGAAGATAACAAAAAAATTCGCAAAAAAAAGTTATAAAGCGAAAAAAAAAGTTTTAAATTTTGTTTTTTATTTATTTCCGGAAATGTAAATTGTGTACCAAATAAAAAAAAATATGTTTAAAAATGTAAAATAATAAAAAAAAATTTTTGAGCATTATTGAGCAGTTGAGCAAAGTTTGAAATTTCAAATTCTGTTCGTTTTTTTAATCTCTGATTTAGATTGTAATCGAAAACCTTATTTGCATTATATCGAAAATTTTATCCAGTACAATCTAAATAAATCTAAATTTTTGTGTCTTTTTTGCACCAGAAATTTAAATTTGTTTTATTGGCTCAAAAATAACCTGTAAGAGAAAGATTGCAACTGAAAGAGACTATTAAGCAAATGTTAATTAATTATCTCGACGAGATTCCATCTTGATGCGCTGAAGACGGATCAATGAGCTCGAGAAATGAATCGGAAAGCAATGAAACTGCCTGGTAGGTTTAACAATGACGAAGGGACCAAGAGTTAGGTCGGACAAGTTGTCAAGTTTTTAATCAAAGACAATAAATTTCTCTTAAATTTTTCATATCTAATTAATACAAAGTGGTATCTGACGCAACTAATCTAAATCTGAGACCAAATAATTAACTTGGCGATTTTTTAAAATACTGTAGTTTAATTGCTGATTCCCGGGGCAATTTTAAATTAATTATGAGCTAGTGATTATAAACGACTAACCACAATTTTAACTAATACCACACATTTCCCATGTTTTGCACCGTAAACAATGAGAACTTTTGAAAAAAGAAATTTTTACATTTGCTACAAAAATAATTTTGTTAAGATGTAATTTATGGCGGTGTGGTAACATAGAACTTATAATTATTATGCTGTTCAACAATTTTTTTTTTTTTTAATAAGCAAAATTATTTTATTTTCAATGAAAAAATAATCTCAGCTTATAGACTTTTAATTAATTTATTGCTTTTAGCAACTTCTCACTTCCCCATAACACCTTATAATTTTTTCTTAATGGAATTAGTCTATATATTTTTTTAATTAATTTATAACCGTATATTTTATTTAATAAAAGAAAAATCTGTATAATCAAAGAATTCAATCTGTTAAAAGCCACACAAACAGTAAAGAAAAACAAAAAAACAGATGAAAATGAGAAAATCTTAATGTAATGAGGTGCTAAAAATTCAATCAATTTTTTCCTATATACTTAAATATTAAATTTGATTCCATATATAGCTAAGTTCTGTGGAAACATTTTTCAGCCACTTAAAATTAATTTACAGACAACAACAAAATACAGAGTAACCGGGATTAAAATTTGTTTTTAATAAAATACTGAAAAAAAAAATTTTTGTATTGCGATCTCAAATAATATTTTTAATTTAAACCTCTTAAAATTTGTAAATAAGTAGAACATACAAAAAAGAAAAATCTAACAATCTCGCTCCTCTTAAAAAGAAACGGCAAAAATTTTTTCATAACTAAACCGCCCTAAATCAATAAAAACACCAAATAATCACTAAAGAATTTTCATGAAGAGAAAAAAAAAAATTCATGAAAAACGCCCAAAAGAATTTTCATCTTCTATATAGAATTATTTTTTGTTTTCTCCTCTCATTTACTTTTATGGTTTTAATTTCAATTTTCTGGCAAAAAAAAAAACAGAAACCATAATTCTCAACAGTGAGTTGAAAAAGAATAATATATGTATACCTAAATGCCTGTATATGTATACACGGAAGCGGGATAGCTGGCTACATTATCAGTACACCAATAAAATTTTATACACGGAAAATGCATATTATATAAGTAACGTATGTACATATATAATTACAATTATATTATTACATTGTGTAAATAAGAAATTAATTTTCCAAGTAAGTTGTTACACAGGCAACCGAGAATTTGTTTGATGTTTAAAATTTACGGAATCTTTTACTTCCATTAATTCTGTTTAGTTTAGAACAGTTTCTCATCACATTTTACTCTTCCTTTGACATAAACTCAAAGAGACAATCACGTGGAAGAGATGATAATTTAATTAATTGCCTTTTTACAAGCAAGTTCAAATACGGTATATAAAATACCGACATACAAAAGTAACTCATCAAATACAGAGTGACTGCCGTAGTATTCATATCCTCAAAATATATGAAAGGAAAACCATAACTTGGATTCGCACTCTTCTTATTCATTTAAGAATAAGAAGAGATCGAAGACGAAGAGAGACTTCTTGGAATCGCACGAAGAAATATTCATTTAAGAATATCGTATATCGAAATTTTCAAGTGAGAAGATCATTATTTCATTATCGTATTATGGCATTTCCTTTTTTCCAAAAGTGTGAGTATGGGTGAGTTGAGTGGGTCAGCCACTTTATTTGTGAAAATAATAAATTTTACATTAAAATTTAGAAAAACAAACTGAATTGAATTAGAAATTTTGTTGTAAAAATGGCAGATTCAATTCAAAAAAATTAGAATTCCAGATCAAATTTTGAAATTATTTGATAGCTAGTCGAAGACTGATGAAATTATCTCGTAACAGAGTATTTATATAAAACTATATTTAAGCGATTTACATTAGTCTGGGTTCAATTAAGATCTTGTTAGAGAACACCTTAAGCAAAGTTATTTACGATAAAATTTTTTAGGAATCAGAAAGCCTTCTCAAGATTCAAAGAATTGTAAATATTTTTTTTATTTGAAAATTTCAAAGCAATTAACAATTTTCCATATATCTTAAGTCAAGCCATAAGATTCGCGTACAAATTATGTAAATTTTTTTAAAAGACCATCTTTACAATACGACCAAACTCTTAAATTATTAATTATTTTCTCATTTTAAAAACATACTCATATAATATTAAGAACTTTTCGAATATATACTCTAATTATGTGTTATATACCCATATAAATACACGAACCATATACTACATACCAAATATTTTATAAATATATAATGAAGATGGAATTTAATTTGACCAGACAAGTGCCAGAATGTTAGAAAGAAATTGTTTTATGTAAAAAGAAAAGGAAAAAGATATAAATTTTTTTTTGCTCTTTTTATATCCTTTTTTTTCAATTTTTTTTTTTCGGAATTCCTTTTTTAAAAAAATATGTGTGTACACAGTGCCCTTATTTTTCTCATTTCGATTTACATATCTGCAACAGAATCATTAAAATTTTATGATTTTATTAACCGAAAGACAGTTAAAGTATTCGTGTACATAAATGAATTGGAAACTTATGCAAGCGTCCGATATTTAGGGGAGTTTTCAGGCAACTAAATGAGCATCTGAAGGAATACGTATATAAACAAATATAAGCTTTTATGACAGTGTTATTAAAGTAAAATTGCTGCATTACCTTAAATTTTTATTTTTAAATTCTGAAATTTCAAATTTGAAGAATAATTCTACTGACTTCATAACTTTACTACCGCGAATTACTATGAAATCTCTGATTGATATAACTATACCCGCAATCCGAAAAAATTTATGTTATGAATTCGGAACGGGCTCCGAACGGAAAATATTTTTTGAAAATATTTTTCTAAAAAAAAAAAAGCGAAACTTTTATTCTGAGAATAACCTGCAAGCTATTCCTGGACAAATTTTAAGTACCTATTTAATGCATCTGTTGTTACGCAACAGAATACATAATAGACTGAATCCTGGCAAGAGCCAAAGTTAATTTCATAAAATTTCGTGAGATTTTTATAATTAAATAAATTTTCGGCAATAAATTTAATTATAAATCGCGGCAATACCGCAATTCTTTCCTATATAAGTGAAACCTTAATAATTTTGCTTTCACTTCAGTGAAATACTTGGTACTTCCATACAAAATAGGCTTCAAAGAAAAATTTATGAAGTAAAAAAAAAATCCATTCTCCTTTTTTTTTCCTTTCTTGTAAAAGTTTTTCTTTTTTTTATGCTATGCAATATAGTGCCAAGAAAAATGTGCATCAGATGCAACAGAAACTTACAAAACAATAGTAAAATTTTTTATATGTTTTTTTTTTTTTATACAAATGTACAAACCTATTATTAAACGAAAAGTTTTTGAACTCAAAATTAATGAAAACTTTTAGAAATTTTTTTTTTAAAAATACTTTTTTTTTCTTCTACAAATAAAGAAAAATAATTTTTATTGTACGTGGACTATGCAAGCTGATATTTTGTAAAAGAAAAAAATATTATGTGAAATCCTTACAGTTGCAGTTGAACCATTGAACTCCTTATATTCAATAAGTTTTTTTTTTTTAAGTTGAAATTGTTTCTGTTTCAGTAAAAAATTCTTAAAATGAGATTTAATAGTGCAATGACATTGATTTTGAATTTATTGAATGAGTGAATCCGAAATCAATGCCTTTGCGCTAAGAATTTTTGAAATATTAATTTTAAATTTAGGGAAATTTTCGATAACTATACATTTAATTTGTGATTTGTAAATTAAATTTATTAAACTTTACAATGATCTGACTTTAAGAACCGAAATATCGAAAAATCCCTTACTTAAACTTTAATTTAAACTTTAAATTTTTACTACAAAAACAAATGATCTGAGTTGATTTCTGTCCCTTTTATTTCGATTTCAATGTTATAACAGTTTAAAACACTTAAAAATTCTATTCTATTTTAAGAGTTTTAAGAAATCTATTATGAAAAATTTAATTTTTTAGAAAATTTACAAAATCAATTATGCGGTTACATTGTAAAAATTAACAGTATGGCAGAAAAAATTAAAAATAAACAGGGCACTTCCGTTTATCACAATTTTTTAACTTCCAACACAATAGAGTTCTCAAAAATAGAAATGTTTGAATTTCCCTTGAATTTTTGGATCAGTGAACTTTTTAGATTTTCAACTTATAATTCAAACCCGAAGCTCCCTCATATTCAAAATGTATGCATAAGCAAAATTTATTCAAAAAAAGCAAAGAATATACTTAAAAAAATTTTTTTAACACTTACCTCTTGTATTGTATTTTCCGGTTTCTTTGTTGACATATTTAAAAATCTTTCTTGTGATTGACAAAATTTTTCTGTCTTCTTGTCAAATTTTTTTTTATTTTCTTTGACACCTCCAATCTGTTTTTTACGAAAATCTTCTAATGAAAGTATTATTTGTTGGTGGGCTTGCTCTAACTAAAAAAAAAAATAAAGAAATTCAGTTTTTAAAAAATGAAACTAATGAGAAAAATATTTATTAAAAAATTTTTTTCACGTTCAACATTCAATTATGCTAAAATTATGCATTAATTTATACCGCATGTCATTTTATAAAAGAAACGAGGCAAAAAAAAAATACAGCCATTTATGTTAATGGTGTGTGCTCTTAAAATTTTTCTTTCAATACCAAACAAATGTATTATTAATTTTTTGCCTAAATCGAATATTATTCCAATTTTTATCAAGACGGTTTCGATTAATTATAAAATTTTTTAACCTTAAATTCCTGATTTTAAAAATTTATGCGCGCTAACAATAAAATGACAATTACAAATACATGAGTATAAACTTTGACAAGATTGAGATTTGTTTAAAGCAGCAGCTTTAATGTCAAAATACTTATAATGCTTAAGCTTTACATAAAGTACGTATAGTAAATAACAAATACGCTTTTCAAAAAACAAAAAAAAAACTCTCTTACCATTCTATCTCGTTCATCTTCAATACTATCTATTAGTTGGCCAAAATGTCTTAGACTAGCACATATCACGGTTTCATCATCGGTTTGAGCTGTTCCAATGCATTCAAAATTAAAGTCTTTTAGACTTTTCGCTAATGTTCTTTGCCGTTGTGACAAAACTAAAATGAAACGAAAATAAAATCAAAATATTAAATAGCTGAATTAATTAAAAACAATATTCATTTTAATTATAGAAATAAAATTAAATTAACAAAAATATCAAAAATATTTTTCAAAATGTTTTCTGTAGTTGTTAAATACAATTTTAATTTTAGTAAAAATTTTTCAATTGTTTTTTTCTTAAAAATGAAGTTTTGATTAAAATCAAATATCGTAAACCTCATAAACGTCATATTTAAAAATAAATGTGAATATTTGTTTATTGGGCAAAAATTTTGACAAATTCGTGGGTATAGGTAATAACTTCAAACTTATAGTAAATAGAGTTTGCACCTATAAAATGATATTATTTAATTATTTATTTGCCAGCTCTGATATTTTTCCAATTTCAAACGACAATAATATCGAATTTACGAGCCCAATTACAATTACATTTCATTCACTTAATTCCAGTAAATCATTCTAAACTTGAATTTGTATTTATTTCACTTAGAAACATCGTAGGTAAAGCGTTCAATCAAGAGTTAAATTAATTCTCATGTACATAAACTATTATATAAATGTATTCTCTCCATAACATATAAATTTATGAGTAATATTCAAATATTGCCCTGCTATTTTCACATATTCCTGCTAATTATAAATATCTAAAATGAATTCAAAAATTAGTTTGAAAATTAGTACGAAAAATTCATTGATTATTCTCTAGCAAAATATTTATTTTAAACATTCTTACAAAATTATTAATAAAAAAAAAATTTTTATTTAAATTTTATTCACAAAAATGCTTACATTTTAATTAGTATGTGAAAAAAAAAAAAATGGAAAAATTCGGTCCCAAAAGTATATTTGATTCATATTTGAAATTGGTCAAAAATAAAAATTTTTAATTTTCGAATTTATTTTGATTATTCATTTCAAAAATTAAATAAGGTTACTGATCTTAACAAAAAAAAAAATTTCTTTTTTAAGTCGAAACAGAATTAAAGAAAATGATTACAATTAGAATAAAATTAAGTAACGTAAAGTTTACGTAATTAAATTTACTTAGTTCATGACCCTGACAATCAAAGTAAAAAAACTTTGATACAAAGTACTTATAATGTTTAAAAAATATAAATTTGAACTTTAAGTGTGTGTGTATTTGTATTTGAAATAAGTATAACAAATAATTAAATTAGAAAACTTTAAAATAAATTATTGGCTTAAGTATGCAATATCGTAAAATTTAAATAATTTTTAACTGATGTATTTAATGATCACTTAACTTTAATTAAAATAAATTTCACCAGCTAGTTCACATGTAAAAATTTGTGATCTTTGATGTAAGTAAAAGTGGTAAAATTTTGAAAAAATTGAGCTTTGATAAAATTAAAAATTAAGTGGGCTTGTACTAAAAACTACATCTCTATAATTTACTCTAATTAATTTGATCTTATCATGGGTTCAGTTAAACAAAAAAAAAAGGTTATAATTTTAGGAAGTTGGTCTTTATTTTAAAAATATTAAAAAAAAAACCAAAACTGTTATACACAAATGTGTTTTAAATTTAAATATGTAGGTGGTTCTCTTTTTGCATAGATTTTAATTTTAATTTAAAAAACTTTTACGAAAATTAATATTCAAAATATTGATTCATCGGTTTTAAAAATCGATTATCGATGCATAATGTCATTATTTGCAAATATGAACATGCCTTTTATCATTCATCCATTTGCATATTAAACTTTTATTGTTATACTGTAAAGTTAGGGAAGAAAAAATATAAAATCAAAATTGCCCTCTCTTCAAATCATTCCAGCCTGGTATCTACTTACATGTATGTATATATATGTTAGTTTGTTACGACAAAATTTCCATTACAATTATTGTTAAGCAAAACAAATTTTCGGTTATTCATTCGTTAACGCATACGTAAGTAAGTTTGAATACACAATATTATTGAATAAATTGCAAAAAATAAAAAAAAATAAATGAAAATATAGTCTATTAACCTACAATAAATATTGATGACACCACACCATACCACACCATATCATAATACACCACATAACAACCAAAAATCAACCAACTTTTATCTATTATTATTAAAGTTTCCATTCATTTCAATCACTCATTATTTCATTCAACAACTAAGATGAATCATTATTGCTTTTTTGTTTTATTGTATTGCTAGAAGTTAGTGCTAGACAGGAAAAAAAAAATATCAAAAGCTATCATAGCAGCAAGATAAGTTGGTGTAAGGTAAGATAACAAAAAAAAAAAAACATACAAAATTTTTTTTCTCAAGAATTGGTGTCATTATGATTTTTTGTTTTGCCTTTTGTTTATTTTCTTGTGCGTTTTATTAATAGTTTCTAAATAAGGTTGTTTTTTTTTTCATCTCTTCATCATCTTCAGAAATGGTGGAAATCCATAAATATTGTGATTTCTAATTTTTAATTTTTAATCTTTTCTTATTATTCGTAACAAAAAGATGCAAAATTAACAAAAACTATGATGTCATTTCCTTGCAAAAATATGGCGAACAAATTACATTTTTAATTCAATGATAAAAAAAAAAATAGATTTTTTGACAATATTCGCTTATTACACATCATATCATTTGTGTTCACATTGCGAATTTACTATATTTGTAATAAAAAAATTCAATATTTCCGCAAAAATGTCAAAAATAACAACATTCTATCGAAAATTTCAAAATTCTAACAAAAATGACAGTATTTTTTTTTAAAATGTCAATAATATGTCAAAAACAAAGAAATTGTCAAGGCATAAAATCTTCTCTTTCCAGTTATTTTCTTTTTTTCGGACAGCAACGTACTAAGTATTAAAACGTATATTGTGTGGTATTACGGCATTATTTACTCATAGAAAATTTAGTATCTCAAAATTTTTAAAATTTTTATTACCATATGGTAACATTATTCGTAACGTTATATTTTTGATAGATAGTTTTCTGATCATCATCATTATTATTATCACAATCATCATTATCATTATCTCATCATTATACATATTTCCTTATTATTGAATAATTGCGTGGATGTAGATTGAATTTTTTTTTTATCTATATACCTATAAATTGATTGCGCGCAATAGTGACATAGAATTAAGTTTTTAAGGAAAATTTCTACACTATGTTCAATGATCACTTCTGTTTTCTGTTTTTTTATTTTTGAATTTTTTTGTATATCTTCGATGTTATACAAATCATTTTTATAAAAGTACACGGTTTATAGTGGCTTGATAACTCTAAAAAAAAAAACAACTTATGGTTTTAAAAAATAGAAAGTTTTGTTTTGACGGTATAGAGTGTTTTGTTGTAGTTGTTTCTTATACATTTTCTACATATTCATATATTTACTTTGTTTTGGAGTCTTCATTATATTTTCCACCCAGATTTGTAGGCCTAAAAACAGTATAGAAGTAATAAATGTATACAAGTAGATAGCTGGTAGAGTACAATTTATTTTTATAGTAAAGAATTAATTTCCATTACAAGTATTGATTTCTTTTTACTTAATTTTCAATATAGTATAACAGTGAGTATAGAAGGATGAGGAGCGGGTGATATAATAGGAAAATGCAAAAGAAATAAAAAATTGTGTCAGTGAGAATTAAAGGAAATTGAACAGAAAATTGTTGTAAGTAATTTTGTTTTTTTGTTTTTATTTTTGTTTTTTACACAATTGCTGTTAATGAACGCATCTTCTTCTTCAATTTGTTATGAGTTGAAAAAAAAACAAAAAAATAAAAAAATTATTTTCCGGTTTCAATAAAATATGTGAATAAAAATTAATTGTAATTAGAGAAAATGCAAAAAAAAACAAACACACACACATCTTATTTTGAAAAATTGGAAAATAAAAAAATTATAAAAAAAAAATATTTAAATTTAATCAATAAATTGGGTTATTCTTGTTAAAATGCAGTTCCATAACTATTAACGAGTGATAAATTAATAATGGTATTTGATAAAAAAAAAAATCTATTTTAAAAGCAATCCCAGCCTAACCGCATGTTTCCCCAACGGGCAGTTTCCCGTGTAGACTGCCAGTCAGGCAGTCACGCATCCGATTTTCTACGATTATTTGTTTTACCGTCCCGCATAAGGTCTGGGCTCTCCAATTGTAGTCTGTGCACGATAATTTTATTTTTGAAAAATTTAACTTTTTTTTTCAATGACGCCTTTGTTTTCCAGTGCTCATAGCAAATGCTTACTTAGCCTATATGGTGTTAGATCCGGAGCTGTGTTTGATTATACTTGAAATCTATGAAATTGTTATTTTCAAAAGCTTATATTATTTTCTATTATCTCAAGAAAAAAACTTCATTTAAAACTGCAAGACAATTTGCTCTTCCTAAGCAGGCTTTAAGTGTGTCTCCTCTTAAAATTTTTCAATGTATATAATAACTCCTCTTAGGGAATCTCAATTATAATCAGATTCGCTTACATATTATTACATCAGACGTTAAAATACATTTACAAATACATACTTAATCAATAATCAAAAATGTAAATCAGAGTAATTATTATAAATATACTCGTTACGAGTACACAATTACCATATTTTTCGATTCTTTAAATAATTACAAAAGGACTTTACAGATTTATTATATAAAAGAATTTACATTATATTTTCTTCAATAATATAGAATAAACAATAAAACAATAAGTAATAAAATTTTTATATGTACAATTATTACAATAGCAAATTAAATTTTTAAGCTTTTCTTTCAAAAGATATAATAAAGAATATAAGTTAGGTAACTATATTGAACCCACTTAAAGGATAGAATCATTATAAAAAGTACATATATGAATTTTATGAAACTAATTACGATTTTTATTCTAATCAGATTAAACAAAAAAATTTCAATATTTTAATGCAGCTTTTTAGAGAAATACGAGTACTTATATAGCTTTTCTTGAATATTATTTAAAGAGCAAATAATTTTAATATTAAAAATCTTTTGTAAAATATTCTTAACAAGAATGCTTTAGTGCACAACAATATATAAGAATTTTTTTATATTTTTAGTTTATGATAAAATTCAGTAATATTACAATAGTACTTAAATAACTAATGTTAAGTTGAAAATACAAAAATTTAAATAAATTATAAAATGATTGAAAATCAAAAGCAAAACGCTGTGTTAATGGTAATAATTTAATATTATTGACACTGATTTAATAGAGAACTTTTGAACTAAAGGCTCAACACCGTGATCAGGTCATTGTAGATACGTCCAATATTGTGTTGCATAATAGCCAATATACTAAAAATGTAATTAATACTTATTATATTAGTATTAAAGCTTATATTACAAAAATTACCTTACAAACATTCAATATCGTATGTTCTACCAGAATGAGCAATAGATTTCTAGAACTTTAAATATGTTACAATGAAAAATACATCAAACATCTTCATTTATCATCAAAAACATTCAGGCTACAACGACATCTTGCGAAAAAAATGATTTCTACAGAATAGCAAACCTAACCATGGTATAAGTTAGTTATGGCATAAGTTATAAGATCATACATTATTTCCTCGCTCCCACAACGAAAAAAATGGCTGGAATAATTTTGGAAAAAACCAATTAAATATAGAATTTTCAACTCAGTAGCCTCAGTATACAATTTTTTCTTAATTTTTCAACTGGGAATTTAATGATTCGTTCTTAACACAAAACAATAATATTTTTTTTGATATGTAAATTTTTTTTTATTTATTCTTAATGAAAATTGGTTCAACCTTGTCAATGACGTTGTATTAATTTTTCAAAATAATATTTATGAAAAAAAAGGAAAACAAGCGAATACGAGTAAATATAAAAAAAAAAAATATGCATCGGACTGACATGTTGATTAAAATGCCACAAGTATGTTAAAATTTATTCAAGCGTTTCTAAAAAAATCAAAACAAAAATTCTTTTTTTTTTCTTTTTCTTATTTCTTGGTATGACAATACTGGGCAATCCTTATTTTTTAAAATACAAATAAAATTAAATTTAATAATGAAATACAATTTTAATAAATTATTTGTGGTATTTTGTTGATTAGTTTACCTTTAACCCTTTGTAAGCATCAATCTAAACTAATGACATGCACTTGGAGGTTGAAAGCATTGAGGTATTGTAAGGATTATATCAAGTATTGCAATTGCAAATTTCAAATTTCTCTTGGAATGCTGCTTCCAAGCAACAGGATTTCTGTTACCTGGAAACAGCGATCCAAAAACTCTGAAAACTTAACCTCTAAATTTAATTATGTATTACTTAATGAAATGACGTTCATTTTCAATAGAAAATTACAAAGCCATCTACTGAAATAAATGTGAACTACTTTTATCGACGATATAAAGATTTGTTAAGCGATAACTTTTTTTTTCAGAGAATAAGCTTTTTCATAGTTACTGGACCCACGGGATTATTTGTGATCAACGATCCATCCGTTGGAGGTTTTGAAGGAAATACGATATCTCTTAAATGGGTTGCAATCAATTTTGTGCTCAACTGATTGTAGAAATTCTCATATGATTCAACCCTGTTTCCTAAACGTCAAGAACTTATGTGTGCACAGTCTAAAAATCACAATAACAAAAATTAATACTGGCGTCTAGTTTTTAAAAAATTATTTGTTGCATAAATAAAAATAGTCGTTGCTCGTTGCTAATTTTTGTTGCTGTTTCATTTTTTTTCTGTAATTAGATGTAATAATATTTTTATTTTTCTATTTTAATTGCAATATACAATACAATATTTAAGAGTATTGCGGTTTCAAACTACGTTGTTATTATTCAAGAATTAAAAAGGAAAAATGTTAAAAATGTTTTTAAGTTCAATTTTATTCTTTTTTTGTTTAGTTTTTTTTTTCACTGTTGTTGTCATTTAAAATTTAAATGAGAATTTACAATTAAAAGAAAAAAAAAATTTAAAAAACAAAAATGCATAGAAATATTTAAAGTTTAATAAGCTTTTAGGCATTGTTTACACGCTCTTATACATTAATATTAAATTGAATGGAAACTACTTAAGGAGTGCTTGTTTTCATCAAACTTCTCGTTATCGTAAAAAAATTTAATTTTTAGGCAGATGATGGACTATTATATACATACAGTCACTGATATACTATTATATATATATATACAGTCACTGAGTTAGTGTTTGTAAGATCTTGTTTGTCGGAGGAAGAAAGCCATCAAACCATCTGACATGTACATATGTGTGAAGTGATCGCTCAATGTGCACTAAGAGCTTTAATTTTTCTAACTAACTTCAATATGTCACTTCAATTTCTCCTGTCCTGACTTCCAAAATGCAACAATTGAACTTCATTCAGATGGATTTCTCATCCATAATTCACTGCATTAAATTATCACGGCATTTAAACAAAAACTTTGATTGTAACGCATTTATGAGAACTGCCACATATTTAGCAACATAAAAGATAGAACATAAGTATTATGTACTTAAATATTTCCAATATAAGAACAAACACATATATTTTTTTTAATTAACACAATGACATCAAAAATGAAGTTCATATTTATTAGCGTGCCAACACTAATTTAGTGCAAACATAACTTTAATATTGTTATTTTTACTTGTTAAGATCAAGTAATATTGTATTAACGCTCAAAGTCATATTCAATAGTCATTGTTATTATTACATTAACATTTTTTTTTTCTTTTTGCTTTTTGTTGTTTTCTTATTATAGTGTTTTAAATACAGCCAGTATTTTACTGTCATTGTCATGTTCTGTCACATTTAATCGAAAATTACTTATGTGCTATGTACATATTTGTACACATACTCCATCTTTATAAGAATATTGTAACTTGTTGTTATTAAATAATTTTAAAATTGAGAAAATATAATAGAATTTCAATGTTATAATAATATTTATGTATGCATATGTATGTATTTTTCAATAATAATAAAATATTTAAATACTTATAAAGTAATGCTAATCATTTTAGGGTATCAAGTGTAGAATGAAATTTTGTACAAAAAGGAAGCCAAAACTAAAGTTGTTTTGCAATAAAACAAAAATTCTATTTTGAATCTTCACATTTTGAATTGTTGGAATGGAAATGTTTTTGATTTATTTGATTACTTTATTAAAAATAATTTTTCTTAATTTTTATTTTTTTTTTTTTTTTTCAAATTTTCAATTCAAATTGTACATATTTTGATTACAAATTTGATTACTAATTGAAGTGTCAGACAGTGTCAATCATAACACATTAAATAGGTCAAAAAAATTTATTTTATATTAATGATTTTCCATGTACATAATTAATACTTACTTATATAATATACTTTTAAAATGGAATTCAATAATATTTTAAAATTCAATGATTTGAAATTATT